GGTAGTATTGGTGCTCAGCACGGAAAACAAATCAAGGGGAAAAAAGCAAATTTGGATTTCAACTTGATCTCCAATTTTCTCCGGGGTGGAGGTCCATCTTTTTTCGAATATCTGGCACCGATGGTGTAAATAGAACCTCTGTTTCTTGTTTCTATCTCTAACGTTGCCCAGAGCGTTCCAAGCACAGAAGTGAGAGGGAGGGGACAGGTCTCCAGTGGAAAAAATACTGTCCATACTGCACCAGGGCAGAGATATAGATACGAAATCACAGAATCACAACCACAGGAACAAATTAATCCTGCTTTAAAATGCCGGATAGTATTGGAAGTTATTTAATATAGGGGATAACCGACGGGGGGCGACACATCTAAATCTCAATTCTAGATGCTCAAAAAATCTCACACTAGCGAATCAATCTTCGAAAAATCATCTTTCAATTCTCGCATCTACTTGCATCGTGCTGCATCTTTTTGCAGGAAATCTTCAAAATCGACATAAATCTTCCTTTTATCTACTCAGCGTGCGTGCAGCTAGCCACAGCAAAACACAATCTTTTCTGCATCGTAGATAGAGTCGTCCCCCTCGGGGATAACCACAGTTACACGGATATTAGTTAAGAGGTGGGAAAATAAATAAAGAGGTAGAGAAGGATGGTTTGCTATACTTATCGACCCTATTTCACTACACACGGTATGTTTAAAGGCGACTTTAATAAAAAAAAGTTAATGTACCCAAAATCCCGTATTACCGTATTTTGGCACCTCTAGTTTTAAAATCTTTGTGGTTTAAAATGTGTCATCGGTAAAAATATAATTTTTTCCTTGCTTTCATTTTTACATAGCATAAAAATACATGGAATTCGGATGATAAAAAAAAAATTAGTGGCAAATGAATGTAAATGATTGCACAAAATGAATGTAAATGATTTTCCATAGTTGAAGATGCTTATTTCAAATAACGGACTAAAGTGGTAATTTTTATACGATAGATGAGATGAAAGTATAGAGTTGATAGTTTCATTAGAGTCGAGATTAGAGTATGGCAGTGTAAAAATTGTATATATTTTTTATATCTTTATTAAGGAGACTTTCAGCCTTGGGCTGGTTCGTCTCCGCGAAATTGTATATAGAGAGTAGAAAGCGAGCAAGGACATCTTTGAGGAAGGACCGAATCGGGTTGATCATCTCTCTTGACCAAACTCCCCAGTTGGAGAGGGATGGTGAGGGGTATCCCCACTACTGGCACACCGACGATGTGTTTGAAACAGTTCTATCATAGAGGTAACTCTAAGAACAGAAGGTCCTGAAGAAACGTGCTCAACTTTTTGGCTCAGCTCTGGTACTCTCTTCGGTCCCAACCTAATCGATGCACCCCTCGAAACATAGGAAAATCCACGAACCCCTTATTTTATCTGTCAAACTTTCATAGCGAATCAAAAAAAAACATAATGTAGTACTAGAATTTCGACTGGAATGGGGTACGTTAATCGATTTGCTTGGGACCAATATGCTAGTCAAGCAGTGAGCCAATTTAAAATCATTAGTTTCCACCGGTTGGTTCTTTTGATTGTACCGCACTCAAGTTGTTATCTAAAGGGAGCCATCTAGCCGTAGGTTTGGAAATTGCAGCTATTGTTACCTCTACCACGGTATGTGCTCCTGTCATCGTCGACTTGACGATCTCGAGGAGGCACGTCTCTGATTTTCCATGCCTGGATATCTGAGATGATATTTTAAAGTAAATAAAGTGTATTTAGCTAGGGCTACTAACATTCAACTTCGGACACTTGTCTTTGAGCAGACTCAAATTTCGATCAGAAAAAATTCAAATTTCGGACACCAAATTTTGTACATGGTTTTTCTAAGCTACGTACGATAGCAATCACTAGTCTCATTTTATTCGTTTATTACTACGTTATATTTGAATTCATGTTCAATGTCGTTTAAGTTTATGAAATTATTAAATAAATGAATAAAACTGTCTTGTCTGCAATATCACAGTGAAAAATTGTGATTCACGTTTCAGACACGTGCTTTTAATAATGTTTGAAGTGCGTTATTATTAGCACCAGTAATGATATCATTGGGGTGATACCTATAAAAAAGTAAAACCGCGGGGTGACGAACAAGCATGATATATTTTTAAAGTTTATATCATATAGGTGTATATTTTAATTTTAGATTTAAGACATTTATAATGTATAAAGAAAATGATAACTTGGCTCTGTAAAGTTTATTAGATTGAGCCTGTACAAATAAAGTAATTATCAAAAAAAACAAATATAGGTGTATAGGTATTCCAAGATATAACTAAAAAAAACAAATTGTCACCGATGAAATATTTTAAATCTCACAGATTATGATACTAGAGGTCCCAAGCTATGACTGTTCGGTTCATTTACTTTTTATAATAGTCGCATTTAAACATAGCGTGCGACAAACAAAATTTAGATTTAGATACAAAGTTTCTTTTATTACTGAACCTTATCATTCCTATTATTCATGTTTGTTGAAGAGTATAACATTTATTCTTGATTCTATTAACGGAAATTACTCTTTCAACCTGTTAGCAAGTAAGCAAAACAGTTGTATAATGGATAATATTACTAACAACGCTAGACTATTTTTGAAAAAAAAAATATTACGCGGATTAAAATATATAAATGTTAGTCGATATCACATTAAAGATGCTAGTGGTAGTTATCTACGTAAAAAAATGATTTTAATTCAAGTCAAATACTAAAGCTATTAAAAACATAATAATTTTCTAAGATGATAGAACTCAGTATTTTAAACGAGTATATCTACCTCTGAACAAAATATCAGTGTCCCACCCAATGCTTATCGGCTCAAATACAATTTCTGGTCAATTCTGACCTAACCCAGTCCATAACAAGCTAGTACTAATTAGAAACTACATTATCCCACCCTACCGGAAACAACGTAAAGCTGAATTCCCCCTAAACAATATCAACATTTATTTTTCTCAACCGCATCCTATCATTATTTCTTTGATTCTGTCAAACTTTTCCTTCTCCAAGTTTTCCACACTTCACCTTTTTTTACAAACACCGGATCCAAATATATGAGTATGACTAGAAAATATAGATTTGTATGAGAATTCAAAAAGTAAATATTTCCACTACGACATGAGCGGTGAACGGGACCCCTGGTTACATGCACCAATATGTCTCGAAATCAATTTGAACAGCATTTTTTTATGTTTTATATTTTATCCATATTCTTATGATAATGACCTTAAAGCTAGTGCAAAAATATGCTCAATACATGTATTAAAAGTAATTTAACTAACGATGTGAACTTGGTTTTGCTCTAAAATGAGCGATGAACGGGCACCACACGGTATCAATCGATCTTTAAATATGAAGCATGCTATAGCTCTTCAATTTTAACATTTGTCGCATATTTCACTGTTATTTTATAATTTTAATAGTATTGAAGTAATGATAGAGGACAGGCATGAAAAATCATTTGCATTCATTTCGTGCATTCATTTACATTCATTTGCCCCTAACATTTTTCATCAACAGAATTCCGCCAAAATGGTGTATGGAGCTTTTGTAGGTTTTGTTATTAGCTACAACTTTTGTTAACAACTCAAATCCGTATCTCTTATGTATGACGAGCCAGAGCGAACAGAAGCCACTACAGTTTTTCAGTGAATGTATTTTAAATTCACTGAAAAACAGTAACAAGTTCTGCCCGCTCTAATTCGTGATGCATGAGCAGGGCTCTACATTTTCGAAGCTCTAATATGAACTCGTGTTTTTTTTCTCTCATACATACGTGTTCGACGCTTTATTTCTATAACGTCTAGCTAGACTATAAGCAAGAAACGAAAATAAAAAAGCAGGACGCTTAGAAGGAAAGGCTGGCTGTGGAACTTCTCGTCGTTGCTTTGCTCATCGCTTTGAATGTAACTAACGTCGATTTTCTAGTTAAACGAACCTCATTATGGCTTTCAATCCCCTTTCACGAACAGTCTATCACCGATCTTTCAATTGCGTTAAAATGCGTTATGTCCCGTTTTTGATCATTTTTTTAAGATGAAAGATGGATGGAAGATAAATTAAACATATTACGTGTAATCTTCACGTGTTTTCACGTGAGAAATGCTTTAAATGTGTTATTTCATTTTCCGTCATATACGTCATGAAACCTCTGTTGATGTGTTTCATGAAAGAGAAAACTATCAAAGTCGAGCAGTCTTTCGGTCATCCGTTTCACCGAAGCTTGAAAGGAAGACCAATGGAGCGACGGGAGAAAGAGAGACAAGCGATTGAACATTTGTTTGTGCACGCCGACTGAGGTTCTAGAATGCTGCGAAGCTGTTCGACTTTAACAGAAAAAGAAAGCCAGCAGTCTCTTCGTCGCATCGATTTGGTTGATTGAAGCTGATATTGTGACGCCCTGTGCATGAGAGATACAGATTTGAGTTGAGATTTTGCGGAATGCTGTTGATGAAAAAAGTTAGAGGCAAATGAATGTAAATGATTGCATGAAATGAATGTAAATTATTTTCCATGTCTGATAGGGCATGAGTACTTAAGGGGGTTAGGTTTTTGGTAAGTCTTTAGTGGGATACACACACACTGATGAAGACTGCACATTGTAGTCGAAATACGTATCTGTCATGGATACCAAAATTAATTAAATGGAATTAAATGCAAGATAACCTTTTTTGCTGTTTTATTTAATTAATACTATTGCTATTGAGTTACTAGCTGCCGGAATGTGAACTTGAATGTAACTTGATTGTTGCAGAATTACATTACGTAATTTTGTCAAAACGTTTGTGAATGTCATCAATATTAAATGTACTAACCTGAACTCAGTATCCTTCAACTTTATATGCTCAGTAGAATCGTTTTTGGGGAGTGTTTAATTGAAAACCAGAAAACAAATTGAACCTGAAATTTAATTATAGGAACCTGGAAATTCTTATTGTGCTTTATCTAAATACTGTTCTTATTCGAATAGGTTATTCAACTATTCCGACCAAAGGAGGTCAAGTACATCAGGAAATTCGTCGGTATCGAAGGATGAGCCACCGTCTTCCTCTCAACCAGTCCCAGGAAATCCTAATCAAGGACACAGTCTATCACCAGCACAGTCCGCAACAAATCCATCCATGTCGTCACAACAACCAAAGGGTTCTAAAAATCAACCCTCGTCACAGGCATCGATAAAGCAACAAAAAGATGTTAAAACTGAAGATAAAGAGATGCTTAAGGTTAAACAAGAGGGTCAAAAACCAACTATGGAAACTCAGGGCCCTCCTCCGCCACCTACTTCTCAGTACTATCCGCATTCACTCTACATGAGCGCAGGTCCATTTGGATTTGATCCTAACCACCAATTGTATAGGAATATGTTAGTACCAGCGGCGTCCTACAGTGCACCTCCATATCACTTGCAAATACCACGGTACACATCGCCTGAGGATTTGTCACGAAATCCTAGTACAAAAGCTCTAGACTTACTACAGCATCATGCCAGTCAATACTATAACTCGCATAAGATACACGAGCTTAGAGAGGGTGCTCTAAAGAGTCCTACCAGTAACGTTAAAGTAAGCGTATCTAGTCCCAATCTTTCTCAGCAATCCAGTCAGAATCCTAACATGTGCATTCCTCCATCAAATAGTAGCATCAGTAGCTTACAGCAGCAACAACAGCAAGTTCCATCATCTTCACATCCGCAACAGCCACAGCAAACAGGGGCTTCTCTACAATCCTCTCAAGGTTAGAAAAAAATGTAGTTTTTAATAGCTGACCGACTAGAATAAATTTTCTTATACTGATTTTTTTTTTTCTTAGCCGGAGGTACCAATACTGCTAGTGGGACTGGCGGAAGTACAGTAGCAGGTGGACCCGAAATGCATAAGGATACCGGTAGCCTCAATTTAATGGGGCAAGGTCCGGCTGCTGCGGGAGCACCTCCGCCACAACAACCAGGACAACCTTCGAGCCGGAGTCCACCGCCGCAACGGCATGTGCACACGCATCATCACACACATGTCGGCCTGGGTTATCCGATGTTCCAGAGTCCTTACGGAGGTGTGTATCCTTCTTATAATTTCGTAAAAAATCGTTTGCCTGTAATCTTTTAAATTTTCTATTGATCAAACAAAATAAATGTTACCTGTGTTTGTGTATAAGTCATGATAACCTACACTAAATACCTAGCAATAGATTCCCCAACTGAAGAATTTTTCAATAATTTTTGTTAAAAATAATTTTACTTCTAGCAGGGTTGCTCGACTCACTACACTATTGTTTTCGTAATTATGGAACCATTAGAAACTTTTTTTTTTAACTTTTAATTTGTTCCAAATTCAAAATAAATTACATTTCATTTTAACCTACGTGCTCCAGTTACTACAGTAACTTAATAGCCTTAATTGTTATGATATATATCTACATTGTTCCTGCCTAGGCAATTCAGTATTTTAAACAGGTTTTTTAAACCTGCATGTCAGTATAACAATTGAAATCTTAAAACTAAAAACTAAAACTAAATCTTGTCTACGTATAAAGGGAATTAATCGATTTTTGCCTGAAATTATTAATTATTTTGTTGGACATTTGTTCGAAAGTCTCAACATTCTAAATTCTATGTACCTCGGTAGTTCTGTACCAGGGAGGCAACTTCAAAATCATCTCCAGAACTTTGTTCTGAATCCTTTGAAGTGCTTTTTTCCTGGTAGTGCAACAACTAGACCATATTGGCACAGCGTAAAGCATGGCCGGTCTAAAAACTTGTTTAAATATAAGAAGTTTATTAGTCAGGCAAAGTTTGGATTTCCTGTTTATAAGAGGATACAAACATGTTATATATTTGTTACATTTGGCTTTAATGCCCTCAATGTGATCTTTAAAAGTTAATTTTTGGTCAAGTACTAATCCAAGATATTTCACTTGGTTTGACCAGGAAATTGGAACCAACGTTCATAGTGACTATGTGACTACTACTAGGTTTCAAAAAGGAAGCTCTAGGCTTATGTGGAAATATTATAAGTTGAGTTATGGAAGCGTTGGAAGAAATCTTCCATTTTTGTAAATGAGGACAGAAAATATCGAAACTTTTCTGCAGTCTGCTGCAAATAACACGAAGACTTCTTCCTTTAGCGGAAATGCCTGTGTCATCAGCGAACAAAGATTTGTGGCAACCCTGAGGGAAATCAGGGAGGTTATTCACTTGGTAACTCTTAAGAGTTGATGAGTAGTTGAATGCCCATGGCGAAATCCAAACTGCTCATCTGAAAAAATGTGAAGCATCATTCTATTCCAAATTATTTTTTCAAAAAGTTTACTTATTGAAGAAAGCAAACTTATTGGACGGTAGCTAGAATCTTCAGCTGGATTTTTATCCGAATTCAAAATTAGAATAACTTTTGCATTTTTCCATTTATTAGGAAAGTATGCCAATTAAATAATTTTACCATCATCACCTGGAGCTTTCATATTATGAAACTTTTTAGTTATAGACCTTAGTTCGTCCAAATCAGTCCCCCAGGAATCATCAAAAATATGTTCCCGAAATAGGACTAGTAAGACTCAAACTGAAATTATGCGAACCAGGGCTGTACATTTTCGAAGCTCTAAAATGAACTCGAGTTTTGTTTCTCTCATACAAACGTGTTCAACGCTTCATTCCTATAACGCCTAGCTAGACTATCAGCAAGAAATGATAATGAAAAAGAAGCACGCTTAGAAGGAAACGCTGGCTGTGGATCTTCTCGTCGTTGCTTTGCTCATCGCTTGCAATGTAAGTAACGTCAATTTTCTAGTTAAACGAACCCTCATTATGGCTTTCAATCCCCTTTCACTAACACTCTATCACCGCTCTTTCAATTTGTTTAAAATGCGTTATGTCCCGTTTTCGTTAATTTTTTTTAGATAAATATGTGGATGGAAGATAAATTAAACATATTACGTGTAATCTTCAAGTGTTTTCACGTGAGAAATGCTTTAAATATGTAATTTCATTTTCCGTCATATACGTCATGAAACCTCTGTTGATGTGTTTCATGAAAGAGAAAACTATCAAAGTCGAGCGCTCTTTCGCTCATCCGTTTCACCGAAGCTTGAAAGGAAGACCAATGGAGCGACGGGAGAAAGAGAGACAAGCGTAACATTTCAAGTTTTATCGAGGTTTTAAAGCATGCTACAAGTCTAAATCATGGTCTCCAGAACCGTCATAAAACCAAAATTGTTACTTGGGTGGAATAGGCTTTTGAGGTTTTTTCAAATTTTTTGTGAGTTTCCAAAAGGGTTTGGAACTCGGGTTGTTTTTGCAAATCCTGCCAGATAACTTTCATGGCAGGATCGCGTGTTCTTCAATATTGTCTCCTACGGACATTTTTAATACCCCGTTCACATTACAGCCTATATCACGTAATATAGACTGTCTTGCAATGATCACTCATACAAAGGATTTCCAGTGAAAACTAGATGTATAAGTGCTCAATGCAAGACAGCGTATATCACGTGATATACGCTGTAATGTGAACGTGGCATAAGACGGATTAAAAGTTGAAGATCGTCGTCTATTATAATTGAATCGAATTTAACCTCGCATTTTGGTACTAAGGCAGCTCTTGCTTTAACTATACTGCCGTTATACGCATAACTGTCCCATATTATATGCACCGTGGGACTCTTATGCGTATAACGGCAGTATAGAAGTAGTCAGAGTTTCAAGAGCATAATTAATATCATCTTTGGTTTGCAAAGGAATGTTTGGATCGAAGTTATATTCCATAAATGTTCTATATTGCCCCCAATCAGCTCTATGGTAATTGAAAGTAGAGCTGTTGGGATTACAAATTATTTCTAGGGATATTTCAAAAGTTACTGAAAGGTGATCAGAACCAAAGTCAACATGGGTAACTAATTGGCTACAAAGTTGACATGAATCAGTGAAGACCAAATCAATAGTTGAGGGATTTCTTGCTGGAGAAAAGCATGTTACGCTGTTTGGATATTGAATAGTGTAATAACCTGCAGAACAATCATCAAATAGAATATTGTCATTGGAATTGCTTTGAGCATTATTCCATGAGTGGTGTTTTGCATTAAAATCACCAATAATGAAGAATTTAGACCTATGACGGGTAAGTTTCTGAAGGTCACCCTTGAGAAAATTATTTTGCTGGCCTACACATTAGGCAGCTATAAACGTAAGTTGTCCAAATTTTGTTTTAACATAAACTCCCAAAGTTTCAAAAACTTTGGTTTCAAATGAAGAAAGAATTTTATGTTTGATTCGTCTATGAACAATGATGGCAACGCCACCACAGGATCCATCAAGACGATCATTTCTATAAATGAAATAATTGGCGTCCCTCTTAACCTTATGGTCAGGTTTAAGGAACGTTTCAGTTACAACGGCCATATGCACGTTATGAACTCTCAAAATGTTAAATAGCTCGTCTTCATTATCTTGAAGAGATCCATCCAAGAGCATTCCAATTTAAAATATTTAATGCTTTAAAATCCATTACTGAATTTCAAAGTCATGACAATATTGTTTGCAAATTTTACTCCAGTTTGAATAGCATCAAACATGGAGTTAGATTTAAGCATATCAGTAATAATGTTAATTATTTTTTTTGACGTAGGACTACGTCTTTGATTTCTATATGGGGGTACACTTTGTGAAAAACAAAAATGGAACATGTAACAAATTAAGAAAAATTTTGAACGTTAATAACTCATCTGCCCCTGGTCCAATTTCAATAATTTTACAGAACAGAAATATGGCTACGCATCGATAACAATGCTTCCAAATGATGATTTTCAACAAGAAACTATTGAAAAACTGGTAAATGTCCAGCACTGTCCAAAAGCGTCGAATTAACTAACAAATCCATCAATTACCTACATGCATATGGTGCTTCCCCAGCACAGTCGTCAGAGAGTAGTAAGTAGACGAAACAAGTCGAAGTGGCATTCGCCTCCGATTCTCGGGCGCGTGCGAATAGGGAGAATAAAATTGCGTAATATTTTGCACATTCATCGCTATATTCAGAACCAAACGCAAATTCTTCGAGATAACCACCATCCGTCGTCTGGCTCGCCGTGGCGGTGTCTGACGTATCTCCGGTCTGACTTACGAGGTGTGCTGAAGGTGTTCCTGAAAAATGAGATTCGTGATGCTGTCACCTACACTAAACACGCCAAGCGTAAGCGGCCATGGATGTCATCTACGTTTTGAAGTGACAGAGACAAACTCTGTTTGGTTTCGGAGGTTAAATCATCACCAACTTTGGCAACAAAACGGCTCTTTTCAGGGCCACCAAGCTTATTACAGTAAAGAATAGGAATAGAATTCATCTGCCTGTTTATCCATATTCAGAACCAGCGATCACACAAAATGCTCATGTAATCAAACTGGAAGCAGGGGTACAAATTATTTTGATCAACCTTGATCAACTTTGAATCGCCACAACCGGATATTTTCAATGGAAGAAGCAACAATCTAGCATCTAATTCGACGAAGACGGCAGGAAACATTTGGCCAAACCTGATTCCAGCACTTCCATATGCTCGCACTGCACTCTACTGAACATGCGAATTCATATGTATTTTAATATTTTAAACTACATTTAAGTCGAGATTTAAGTAAATCAAACTGGTTGTTTTTTTTCCCGGGTTTTTTTTTGTTTTTTTTTTTTTCACTTGTGATGGCTGTGGTGCACGAAAAAACGAAACAACCCAACATTTATTTAATGGTATTTTTGACAGTTTAACAATTTTCATTTTGAAAATATGCCTTTTTAAAATAACAAGTATAAAGTGAAAGACAAACTTTTAAAATAACAATAATGCTTTCATGTTAAATATTGTCGTAGTTGAAACAACCAAAGTTGGGAGACTTTTAATTTGAAAATGCATTATTTTTGTAGGGAGGTAGCTCATCGATTCTTCCGGTTCGCCTCCTAGCATCGTGCTATAAGGTACCAGGCGATAACCAGGGTAGTTGATCGATAGCTCGATGACGTCATTTCGTTGGCGTCTGCAATGGGAAATTCTCATAGCAGGCGTTGACGATG